CTGCTGGGGCTGGTGAGCTCTTCCCTGCATCCAGATGTTGGCCCTGTGGAGGCAAAATACAGAAGACTTTTGTGAGAGTTTGCAACTTTTCAGAGATAAGATGCTCTGAATCAGGGGCCATGCGCTGCCTGGCCTCAGGTCAGGGGTCGACTGTGCATGGGTGCCCAGGGATCATGGTAAGTTAGCCAGGCAGGCCTGGGCCCTGGTGGCCACCAGCCAAGCCTCCCACCCCCACTTGCTTCCCTGGGGCCGGCAGCCTGCTGGGTGCTGGGTGCTGGCTGCAGGCAGCCTGCCTCCCTTGCCCCTTCCTAGGGTGGGATATGCCAGGTTGCTGGCAGCACCTGCTGCCATGGCTCTAGACCCTGCTCCCCTACCCCTTTCCCTGCAGGCCAACCACTCTGCTGTGCTGCTGCCCAGCCCATGGTGCCTGGGGTCAAGGTGCATGGGGCTCCCTAACAACTGGGGTGAGGGGCTGGCCATGCCTCTGCCCTCCCTACTGGGGACCTCTCCAAGGAGGTGCCCTGGGGCTGGCCCCCACTATGCCACTGCTGCTCTCTGAGCATGCTCCTGCTGCTTAGGAGGTGCATGATGGGCTGTTTGTGGAGGCTGAGGGGTACCTGAGCCACTAAGCCCTCCTGTTGATGATCCTTCTGGTGCCCTGGGCACACTTGCACTCCTGGTTTGGGACCCTATTCTATGATGGTGTAGGGGGCAAGCCCAGGCTGCCCCACAACCTCCACCACTGCTTGGAAGGCTACCTGTGGCAGCACTACACATCCCTGCCCCTCACTGCTGAGGAAGACATTGCTGGCAACATCTACCTTCCTTGGGGTGAGAGGCCCATGCCTGCCCAGCTGCAGGGACATGGGCTGCTGAATAAAGTTTTGAACTGTGTTCCACCTCTGTGTACTGTGGGGAGGGAACCCAGGGCCAAGGAAGTGTGGGCAGGCTGGGCAGGGAGCAGGAGCAGAGGCTGGGGCCAGAATCAGGGCCAGGGGAAAGTGCAGGACTTACCATGTGTCTGGGGCTGATGAGGCCAGCAGCTTGACATGGGCCTCCCTGTTGGCAATGGCAGCTGGTTGCATCTGGTGTCTTCAGCTCATGGTGTGTGGTAGGCCAGTGCCTGGCCAGGCTTCCCCCTAGGGAGAAGCAGTGTCATGGCTGGCCTCTCCATGTGGAAGGGTATGAGGGTGCAAAGCTGGTAAGGCAGCCATTGGCCAGGGAACCTCCAGCTGCTGGTGGGTGCAGCAGCTGGGGAGGTGGGTAGGCTGGGGCACTAAACATCCAATGGCCCCTCCTCTGTGGAGGTGTTACCACCAGATGAGTCAGGGCAGGGCGGTGACTCAGGCAGGCCACCCTTGCTGGTGAAAACTGCAGGGTTGTGGCCTTGGTCCCGGGACACCAAAATGTTGGTCAACTGCTGCATAAAAGGCATGGTCTTACAGGCACGACCGGACCGACGATTGTGGTCAGTCACAGCCACCCACTGTGCCTGCAAGGCCTTGATCCTTATGAAGCACTGCTGCACTGTCTGGGAGTGCCCTCGCTCCCACATGCCACCTGACAGGGCCTCATAAATATGGGTGTTTGAGCGCCCACTACCCGCAAACTGCCTCTCAACCTCTGCACCCCCCCAGAGGGCCACGAGGTCCCTAATCTCCTTCTGGCTCCAGCTTGGGCCCTGGATGGAAGGCTAGGGCGTGTGCATGCAGGTGGGGCCAGTCCTCAATGGGGAGGACAGGTAGGACATGTTGGTGCATCCTGCACCAACTCTCTGGTCCCCCATTATGGCTCTCCCTATGTGGCTGGCCCTGGACAGTGCTAGGAGCACTTAGCAGAGGGGCATGGCCAGGGACTGGGAGTTGTGCAGCAGAGGCAAATGGGCCACAGTGCCTGCAAGGACAGGAGACACTGCTGGGAGTGAGAACCAGCAGGGAGCAGGTGCTGGCCCTGCTGCCAGAGACAGCCAGCCAGCACCCCTGGGAACTTGTCAGGACTGGGCAGGTGAGGCAGCAGGCTGCAGCCCTTTACAACCCTCACCTGTGGCCAAGCAGCATCTCTGGTTGGGGACAGGACTGGCAGGGGCAACCTGGGTCTTGTCCAGGGGGGCATACAGGGGCTGCAGTGCTCCAAGGTCCCGGTGTGTGTGCTCCAGGGGCTTTTATAGCCTGCAGCTAGGAGTTGCCACAGAGCAGCCCAGCCCTGGGGCAGGAGAGGCAACTAGCCAGGAGACCTGGGGTTGAGCTCAGGGCCGCACCATAGTGGCTGAGCAGACCCAGCATTAAAGTTAGTGTCGGGTCATGTCCACACATATGTTACTGTGCTTTAATTAATCAGAACTAAATTTGATACCTACATTTGCAGGTATCAAGTTTAGGCACAATTAGACATTTTTGTTGTGCAATAAGGGTGTGCACATGTAGATGCACACCTGTACTGCACAGTAAATTAGGCTAAGGTGCATTAACACATCTTGTGTAGATGTGCCTTATATGTGGAATATATAGACGCATAGGCCATGCCACACAAGCATGGACATTTGTTTCCCTGGGGACATGAAGCAGTGGCACATGTTGTGCTGCCTCTACTTCTCCCCATGGAACACCTGTGCCACATGGACTCTGGTGCATGACAGGTTATCCCGAGGGGGAAGGGGAGGTTGGGACCAGCAGCCTTACAGGGGTTCTGGGAGCCAAGGAAGCTGCAACTGCAACTGGGATCCTGCTGGCAACTGAAGTGTGGCTCCAGCTGGCCAGGCTCCAGTTTTGGGTGGTGCATGCTACCACTACATGTACCACCTTGCTTTTTTTCTGCACGGGATTTTTTTACCTCTCAGGGTCAAAAAACAACCCAATGTTGCAAGGTAGCAGCACAGAAAACACCTGAATGTTCAGTGTTCATACCTCACAGCTGCACTCATCTGGATGCAGCCATACAGCATGTGCATATGCTGGATGGATTCATATGTTTACCATGGCACACATAGTAGCAGCACATATTTGTGCCACTGCTTTTTGTCCCAGGGCACATCCCTGCACATGAGCTGCAGCGTGCCGGAAATTGACCTGGGTGGAGTAGAAGAGGCTGGGGCCAACACCTCTGCTGGCCATAGCAGCCTTACCTGGGATCCTGGGGGACTCCTGGGGTGGCAGCAGTGCTGATCTAGCCACATGGAGCCTGGCTGGTAGCCACAGTGTGGCTCTGGATGGCCAGGCGCTGTTTTTGGTGGTGCATGCTGCTGCCACGTACATCGTGCTGCTTTTTTTTAGCAGCGTTTTGGTTTTTGACACTGGGATCTCCCAGTGTCAAATTTTGGTGCTCTACAGTAAATTAGCAACACAGCAAACAGGTTTATGTGCACTGCATGTAGTTTGCAACACCTCAAACAGCTTTGAGGCACTGCTAACTTCATGTGTGCACTCCTTTGGACATGCCCATTAAGGGTTTTTCCTTCTTTTTATGTTATAAAAGATTGATTGATTTATTATGAACTTGTAGGACCAAATTCATTCCTGGTGCAAATGGGTGCTATTCTTTTGATTTGAATGGAGCTTTACTCATTTACTTCAGAAGGGAAGGAAGGCCTATGCATGTTTACAATGTATTTCACTATCCTAAAGGAAGAAATATGTCAGCACTTTGAAGTATTTTAATTAAGTTTGGATTTTAGGAGGCATTTTTCTGCCTACCAATATCAATTTTATTTCTTGTACATGTTTACACCATGTACACATAACCCCTACTGTCTCCACTTTAGGTATTTATATAACACTTCTGTTTCTAGGAGTATCACCATTTATTGACCAGTGGATTTAATAGTTCCAGTCTGCACTCAAAATCCCTTTGGCTGCTTTTCTAGGTAAGAAGGACCGCCTTTTTTAGTCTTTGGGAGCAGGGAGCAGAGCCAAAAGTGATGTAGACAGGGTTCAGAAAAGGAGAGGTCAAAGGAAAGAGGAGGAGCCAAGCTGATAGTATTTCTGGAAGGCAGGGATGAAGAAAGAATATAGGTATTAGGGGGCAGGAAGTAAAGAGGGGGTGGCATCATTGGCAGTGACATACACATTCTTCTCTGCCTTCATTTTACATCTTGCATCTTGCTGTAATTTAAAAGGAAAATACTACTTACTGCTTATCAATAGCTGCCCTTCTATGGGTTTCACACAATGCATGAGATCAGCACTAGGTGACCCAATGCCAATACAGTAACTGGGACAATTCTACTGTTATGAATGAAGTAATGAAACAAAAGACCAATAGTAAAATAAATGGAATTTTTCCCTTCCTAGTGGGTGTGTCTACATGAGACGCTTACTGTGTATTGGCCAAGTAACACTGTGCGGTAGTGTGTCACAGCAAAAACCATACTAATAGCCTACTGAGCAGTGTTATTAAGCTAATGCACAGTAAGTGTCACTAAATAACCATGTGCTGGCACTACTGCACAGTAACTTTAGGTACTGCACATTTCATTAGTCCTTTATTAGGGAAGTAGTACACTAAATGTGCAGTATCTAAGGTGCATTAATGAATGTGTAGACACACCCTCTGTGTTCTATGTGAGAAACCTGGACATGCCCTTTCTTGCTTCATACAGATGCTGGCCCATCAATTCTAATGGGATAAAGAGACTGATTGAAGGTTTTTTAAAACTCATGCTGGGGGGTGCTGGCAATGGAGGTTAACCATGTTTAAAACTCCATTTTATAAACTACCTAGAGGATGTAGCCTAATCTAATTCATGGTTTCCTCTAGCATGACTGCTAAAGGATAAATAATTAAGGGATAAAGAATAGATGTGCTACAGTTATGCTCACTACAACCACATTAGGAAACCCTCAATTAGAGCCTGACGCATTTTTACAAAGTATGATAATAATCTATTCCTTTTGATAGACTTATGCAGTAGGCAGTCTTTGCCAGTTAAATGTGCTTTTGCTCCAGCTCCCTGTAGTTTCATTATATCTGTTAGACTATTGTCTGTATTAGTTATTTCATTGCTTTAAATCCAATGTTGGGTTCTCTTAGAGTGGCTGAGATGTAATTTAAAATCAAAATATAACCCATACAATATTTTATTATTTTGAAAGACATAAATCTGGTCATACTTTTTGTCTCCTCAGGGCTACAGGCTATAGAAGCAAATCATCATGTCTGATCCTGTTGCTCTGCGCAGCATTAAGAAATTTGGAGAGGATAATCATGCTTTTGACTTGGATGGTTCAAGTAAGAAGTTTGCTTTTTAATTAGATGCTGCTTTTAGGCTGCAAACAGAAGTTGCATTTATACTGGGATAAACCATTTTATCCTGGGACAAAGTGCAAGTATACAGACAACCATGCCTGCTGTATTGGGGAAAATCCTAAAAAGAAAAGGTTCCCAGATAAGTAGTAACAGTTTATGCTGGGATATTGCAAAATGTGCCCATACAGTTATCCCAGGATTGTATTATTTAATCCAGGGACGGGCAATTATTTTGGGCAGAGGGCCGCTTACTGAGTTTTGGCAAGCCATCGAGGGCCGCATGACAGGCAGCTAGGGGCAGATAAATATTAACTTTCTAACATTTTTAGGGGCCCCACAGGCTGGATAGAATGGCCTGGCGGGCAGCATCTAGGCCGTGGGCCGCATTTTGCCCACCCCTGATTTAACCAGTGGCAGAAAAGTGGCAGTGCATTCAGCTACTCACTAAATGGTGGTTATTAGGGCAATGTGTGTACACACTAATCCTGGGATATCTTTGTTCTGGGACAAACACAGATGCAACTTCTGGGAACAATGTCTGTTCCTAGTCTTAGACAGCTCTTGAAATGAATTATGGATAATTTCAGTAGACCTGATGTGTAACAAATAGCCTGTTGAATATGCATGTACTAGTACATATTGTGGTTATAGGCATGTTGGCTTTGAAACAAAAATCCATGTGAGATCATAGGAAAATAGGGCTGGGAAGGGACCTCATGAAATCATCTATCCGAATCTATCTATCCATGATAGATTATGGATAGATGAGAATATAGTTCATCTTTCTACATATCTGTCTACTAATGCATCTAGGTTTTGATACCAGGTTCATCACCCTGGTGTCTCAGTATAGGTGGATCCAGGATTTTAAAAAGGGAGTGTGGGGACAGTGACTGGTGCTGCACCCCTCCCTCCCTCCCTCCCTGCCCTCCCCTTCCTTCCCCACTTCAGGGTGGACAGACTCTGTGGCAGAAGCAGCAGCTGAGGACTTTAAGTCCCTAAATGAGGTAAGAGTCTTCCCCGCACCATTATCCATACCCTTCCCCTTCCCCTCTGTGCTCAGTGGCACCTCCCCTCCTCTCCCTTTCCCCGCTTTTCTCTCTACTTAAACTTCTAGGCAGCCTGCTACTGCTGCTGTCCTGGCCTCTCCTGCCCCACTCCAGCTGGGGTTGTGGGAAGCATCTGCATGGGGAGCTAAGCTTGGCCAGGGACAGCAGTGGCAATGGGTAGGTTCCCTGTTTCTGGTCCTGCTCCTGGCCTAGTGGGGAACAGCTGTGGAGACTGGGCAGGGAGGAGAAACCATCCCACTGCTGGGCAAGGAGGGGAAACCAGCCCACTTGAGCCTGGCTCCCCATTCAGTGCAACTGGAGTAAGGAAGGACTGGCTCTGAATTTGGAGTTAGGCAGCAGTGGGCAGGAGAGTGGAAGGGACAGGAGCAGAGGTATTGCAGAGTACTGAGCGGGGAGTGTGCTGAGAAGGGAAGATCTTGGAGAGAATCATCAAGGAGCACATCTGTGGGGGGCCAATCAGCATGGGTTCATCAAAGGCAGGTCCTGCCAGACCAACCTGATTGCCTTGTATGACCAAGTAACTAAATCCTTGGAGATGGTGTCACCATGGACGTAGGCTTTCTAGACTTTAAGAAGGCCTTTGACACTGTCTTTCACCCCATCCTCATCAATAAATTAAGCAACTGTGGCATTGATGCCTACACAGTTGGATGGGTAAAAAATTGGCTGATGGGGCGCACCCAGAGAGTAGTGGTGGACAGGTTGTATTCAACCTGGTGAGATGTGAGCAGTGGGGTCCCCCAGGGCTTGGTCCTTGGGCCCGCACTGTTTAACATCTTCATCAGTGACATGGACGAGAGAGTTGAAAGTGCGTTGTCCAAGTTTGCTGATGACACTAAAATGTGGGGCAAGGTGGACACACTTGAAGGAAGAGAGAGGCTGCAACTAGATTTAGACAGACTACAAAAGTGGGCAGATGAGAATAGGATGGGGTTCAACATAGACAAATGCAGGGTGCT